CCAGGAGGCGGAGGTTGCGGTGAGCTGAGATCGCGCCATTGCACTCCAGCCTGGGCAACAAGAGTGAAACTCCGTCTCAAAAAAAAAAAAAAAAAAGTAAAAAGAGGCTGGGTGTGGTCGCTCACGCCTGTAATCCTTGAACTTTGGGAGGCTGAGGTGGGCAGATCACGAGGTCAGGACTTTGAGACCAGCCTGGCCAACATGGTGAAACCCTGTCTCTACTAAAAGTACAAAAATTAGCTAGGTGTGGTGGCGTGTGCCTGTAATCCCAGCTACTTGGGAGGCTGAGGCAGGAGAATCACTTGAACTGGGGAGATGGAGGTTGCAGTGAGCTGAGATTGTGCCACTGCACTCCAGCCTGGGCAACAGAGTGAGACTCTGTCTCAGCGGGGCGGCGGGGGCAGGTGGGGGGGAAGAAGATACAAAATATGTGGGCTGGGCACGGTGGCTCACACCTGTAAGCCCAGCACTTTGGGAGGCTGAGGCAGGAGGTTGGTTTGCATCCAGGAATTCGAGATCAGCCTGGGCAACAGAGTGAAACCTTGAAATTAGCCTGGTATGGTGGTGTGCACCTGTAGTCCCAGCTCCTCAGGAGGCTGAGGTGGGAGGATTGCTTGAGCCAGGAAGTTGAGGCTGCAGTGAGCAATGATCGTGCCACTGCACTCAGCCTGGGTGAGTGAGAACCTGTCTCAAAATAAATAAATTACATAAAGACATCTGGGTTTTTGTTCTTAAGCTGCTACTAACTAGCATTGTGATCTTACTTAAGTCATGTTAACCTTTGAACCCCAAACTTTTTTATTTTTTAAAAGGTCAGAGTAGTGGATGTTTCTGTTGGTTCTAAAATTGATTGACTGGACAAGGAGTACTTTATGAAATGTTTTCCTCTGTAATCTAAGGGGCTATGTTTTGGGGTTACAGGTAGAATTTTGAGGTAGGAAGAGTGATGGAGTATATTTTTGTTTTTAGTTTTGAGTGTAGATATTTTGTGTTTTTACTATAGTGACTCATTATATAGTGAGCAGTAACTCATTATATAGTGAGCAGTAACTCATTCTGCTACAGTATTATTGAAGTTCTTAGAATGCCATTTTGAATTTCATTTGTGTCTTTTATATTTTATGAATATTTTAGTTTTATGTTTGTGTCCATGGTTATATAATCACAAGTGTGCAATTTACAAAATAAAATGCCATAAGAGTATCATAAAAAAAGGCTTGAGGATAGATGGATAGTTTTGGAACTTTGTAGGCCTACCTACTTACCTATATATTTCAGTTTCTTCCTGAAAATGGTTCTGTGGTCATTATCTTTCATACCTTTTTCTGTCTGATCACAGCTATTTTTTAGAGACTTCTAAATAAGCCTTTATTGGCAATTTAAGGAAAAGGCAAGTGAAAGAACTTAAGCTTTGTCCCTGTTTCCAGAGGAATTTATGATTATATTGACGTTCACTGACTAAGCCAACTATAAAGAGTACTGTGTTTCAAAGCAACAGACCTAAAATAATAATGAAAATTCTGCCACTTCTTGTTTTTTGGTAGGAATTAATGTTTGGGGAGAAGAAGTCTGTGTGAATCAGTGACCTTCAAGTAATTTTGTATTCTTGAGGCAATTATTATGTAAGAAATAATAAAAAGGTAAACTGAACTAGAAAGGAGAGGGTGAGATTTATACATTAGTTGAATCAGCAGTCATTGTGGTACATTGGAAAAAAATGGGACTAACAGAAGACTTGGTTTGAATTTGGGCTTAGTTAAAACTTACCATTGTGTGATGTTAGGCAAGTCACTTCATTTCTCTGATCCTTTTTCCTCATTTCTTGTATGTAGTAACAACAACTCAGAGTTGTGAGGAAAAGGAAGTAATTTAAAAAAAAAATCAATTCTTTATTTACGTAACAAGTTGGTTATGTCCAGTGCATTGTGTAAAACATTACAGTATCATACAGGAAAGTACTATCAGTACAGAGTTGGTTCACAGGAAATAATTTTTTGAGAGTGCCTTATGAGCTAGTCTTATAATTAAGGGCCAACACATATACCTCGGATAGAAAAGAATAAAATTCTCAAAGTGGAATTTTGGTAAATATCCTCTACCCATTTACAGGTGTGTGTGTTGTGTGTGTGTGTGTGTGTGTATATGTATTTTTTTTGTGTGTGTGTAACGGAGTTTTGTTCTTGTTGACCAGACTGGAGTGCAATGGCGCAGTCTCAGCTCAGCAACCTCTGCCTCCCAGGTTCAAGCAATTCTCCTGTCTCTGCCTCCCAAGTAGTTGGAATTACAGGTGCCCACCACCATGCCCAGCTATTTTTTTTTTTTTTTTTTGAGATGGAGTCTTGCTCTGTCGCCACGCTGGAGTGCAGTGGCATGATCTTGGCTCACTGCAACCTCTGACTCGCTGGTTCAAGCTATTCTTCTGCCTCAGTCTCCCAAGTAGCTGGGATTGCAGGCATGCACTACCATGCCCAGCTAATTGATTTTTGTATTTTTAGTAGAGACGGAATTTCACCATGTTGGCCAGGCTGGTCTTGAGCTCCTGACCTCAGGTGATCTGCCCTCCTCGGCCTCCCAAAGTGCTGGGATTGCAGGTGTGAACCACTGAGACTGGCCAGGTATACTTTATTTTAATCAAAGAGTATATTTGCAGAACTTAACCATCAAAGCAGAAAAATAAGATCTTTGTAAACTAAAGAGTTTTGGGCTGGGTGCCATGGCTTATGCCTGTAATCCCAGTACTTTGGGAAGCTGAGATGGGCAAGTCACCTGAGATCAGGAGTTTGAGACGAGCCTGGCCAACATGGTGAAACCCTGTCTCTACTAAAAATACAAAAATTAGCCTGGCATGGTGGCAGGCACCTGTAATCCCAGCTACTTGGGAGGCTGAGGCAGGAGAATTGCTTGAACCTAGGGGGCGTAGGTTGCAGTGAGCTGAGATCTCTCTACTGCACCTCAGCCTGGGTAACAGGGTGAGACTCTGTCTCAAAAAACAAACAAAAAAAAGTTCATGGAGAGAAGTTTTCTTCAAGTATCTTTTATTATTTAAAAATTATTTGAGTTAAAAGTAATCTTTTTTTAAATAATATAATTTTATATATTTTTAAATAAAAGTAATCTTATTAGCACATTAAACTTCATTATTAGCACATTGAGCAGTATCTAGTACTGTTTTCAGACTTTTGAAATTTTCTGAAAAATTTTGAAAAAAACGACATACCTCTGATTTTTAAAACTCTTAATACTGCTTTATTCAGTTCTTCATAGATGGCAATAACTTATAATTGGTGACATTTCACATGGCTTTGGGCTTATAAAGAATATATTTTGACTTAAGGCATTTGTGTTTACTATGCTATCAGCCTCCAGTTCATTTGACTTATTCTTTTCTTCTCCAGGTTTTTCGTTGGAGTATACGTTGCACATTTATGGCGATTCTGAGTGTGAGGGCAGATTTCTGCCAGGCTCAGCACAGCGTTTTCGCTGACAAGTGAGCTTGGAGGTTCTATGTGCCATAATTAACATTGCCTTGAAGACTCCTGGACACCGAGACTGGCCTCAGAAATAGTTGGCTTTTTTTTTTTTTTTTTTTTTAATTGCAAGCATATTTCTTTTAATGACTCCAGTAAAATTAAGCATCAAGTAAACAAAAGTGGAAAGTGACCTACACTTTTAACTTGTCTCACTAGTGCCTAAATGTAGTAAAGGCTGCTTAAGTTTTGTATGTAGTTGGATTTTTTGGAGTCCGAAGGTATCCATCTGCAGAAATTGAGGCCCAAGTTGAATTTGGATTCAAGTGGATTCTAAATACTTTTGCTTATCTTGAAGAGAGAAGCTTCATAAGGAATAAACAAGTTGAATAGAGAAAACAGTGATTGATAATAGGCATTTTAGTGGTCTTTTTAATGTTTTCTGCTGTGAAACATTTCAAGATTTATTGATTTTTTTTTTCCACTTTCCCCATCACACTCACACGCACGCTAACACTTTTTATTTGCCATAATGAACCGTCCAGCCCCTGTGGAGATCTCCTATGAGAACATGCGTTTTCTGATAACTCACAACCCTACCAATGCTACTCTCAACAAGTTCACAGAGGTAAGATTGTAGCGTGGTCTATTTTTTGGATTGATTTCTAGGTAAATGCCATTTAAAAAATCTCTTAGCACAAAGCAATTTACTTCTGTATTTGGAGTATGGATGGTCATCCTGCCAATTCTGGTTTCAATTGGGTTGGGTTAGTTACAGCAGATTTTTTTCAAGAACATTTATAGAATTTGGGGACTGTAGAGATATCTAGTACTGTTTTTTCTGTGTCCTTTTTACATTTATTAACAGGTTTTTTTTGGGTCAAACATTCAGTAATAAAAGTAATTAACATTTATTGAACATAGTATGCACATAGCATTATAATAAAGAGTGTTATACATTATGCAACAAGCAGTGTTTTTACTTAAGGTCACAAATACAAAAACCCTATGAGGTGTAGGTACCATTTGTATTTCCCTTTTACAAATGAGGAAACAAGTTCAGAGCCATTTAGCAATTTGCCTAATGACACATAGTATGTGGTAGAACTGCTATACTTGTCTAAGTGTCTGACACTAAAAACCATGCTGTATGTACTTCAAATATTCTAACCACTTTTGATGAAAAGTCACCCCCAAACTACTTAGTTGTAACAATCATATACAAGGGTCCAGAAACTTAGGGGAAGGAAAGGTGGTAGAGCTAGTATTTTTATGTCGGATCCTTAATATTTTTTTCTATTGGTAGGAGAAAAACCTCTTCGTACTTCTTGGAGCAAACATTTGAATATAAACTTTTTACTCCTTCCTGGTTGTTGAGTTTAAATGATTTGCTGTATTTATAGAGTAGGCTTAGAAAGCTGGATGAACTCCTTGTGATTGTCATTTTATAGATGGCAAAACCGAGACTAAAAGAGGTTTCGACTTGTTTAAGGTCACAAATATCATAAAAAAATTCTATCTCAACTTTTCCATGAATGGCTACTACAGAGTTCATTTTAGTGGGATTTTATTTGCATTTTGAAACATTAAAAAAAATTCCTGACTTACTACTTCCACCTTTCTTGAGTCTGTGTTGTAAGAAGGCCTTTTTGTGAAAAAATCCTTTAGCAATTAAAATATTTTTACACTTTAGATAACTCAACGATGGACCCTAAGGATATCACTGTGCCTGCTCATTTATACATAAAATTCCCTGAGCTGCTGGGCGCGGTGGCTCATGCCTGTAATCCCAGCACTTTGGGAGGCCGAGGCGGGTGAATCACGAGGTCAAGAGTTCGAGACCATCCTGGTCAACATGGTGAAACCCCGTCTCTACTAAAAATACAAAAAATCAGCTGGGCATGGTGGCATGTGCCTGTAATCCCAGCTACTCAGGAGGCTGAGGCAGGAAAATTGCCTGAACCCAGGAGGCGGAGGTTGTGGTGAGCCGAGATCGCGCCATTGCACTCCAGCCTGGGTAACGAGCGAAACGTCGTCTCAAAAAAAAAAAAAAAAATTCCCTGAGCTTCTTAACTTTGTGTACACAGTGTACAAGTTGATTCTAGGCTTGTATGCCCTCAAATTGTTCATTTACCTTTAAGCCTGGCTGAATTAAATGGTACTATTTTCAGCCTGTGGATTCCTTGGCCATAGACTCCAAGAGTGGCATAGGCCACTGTTCTCTTGCAACTATAAAAAAGATGTTGGTAGAAATGGGGAGGGGGGTGGGGGAAATGTTGCCCTAAGAATGCTTCTCATTCCTCTGTTGTTGTTGGGTCCTGTTTTGGGTGGGGGCGTGGTGGGGTTGGGGAAAGCTTGACCTTGTGTCTTTGCCAGTAAACACCCACACACACCCACCCACACACACGATGTTTGTAGCCCCTTGAAGGTAGGTAGTCACTGGGTTAGGCATTCACTGTAGGGAGAGTTTTTTTTTTTTTTTTTTTTGACATGGAGTCTCCCTCTGTTGCTCAGGCTGGAGTGTAGTAGTGGAATCTCAGCTCACTGCCACCTCTACCTCCCAGGTTCAAGTGATTCACCTGCCTTAGCCTTCTGAGTAGCTGGGAGTACAGGTGGCCACCACCATACCCAGTTACTTTCTGTACTTTTTAGTAGAGACGGGGTTTTACCATGTTGCCCCAGCTGGTCTCGAACTCCTGACCTCAGGTGATCCAGCCCGCCTCGGCCTTCCAAAGTGCTGGGATTACAGGCGTGAGCCACCGCTCCCGGCCTAGCTGTCTTTTTAATATACCCCTTTTTCTCTTAATTTCAGAATTTTATTTATTTTAAAAAAACTGTTTATTTCCTAAAAATCAAAAGATACAGATAAGCAAAAAGAATTTAACAACATTTAATTGTTAATAACTGGCTTCTAGATGTTTTTCTCTGCATATATCTGTGTGTATTCATAGATACACATACAGATAGGATCACACATACACCATATATATGTGTGTATATATATTCATTTATTTTATTTTTTTGAGACGGAGTCTTGCTCTTTTGCCCAGTCAGGAGTGCAGTGGACATGATCTTGGCTCACTGCAACTTCTACCTCCCGGGTTCAAGCGATTCTCCTGCCTCAGCCTTCTGAGTAGCTGGGATTACAGATGCACACCACCACACCCACCTAATTTTTGTATTTTTGGTAGAGACAGGGTTTCACCATGTTGGTCAGGCTGGTCTCGAGCTCCTGGCCTCATGATCTGCCCACCTCAGCCTCCCAAAGTTCTGGAATTATAGGCGTGAGCCACCACTCCCAACCCACACTATATATATTTATTTTATTTTATTTTACCCTGCAGTGTAGCTGCATTAAAAAAATTTTTTTTATAGAGACGGGGTTTCACCATGTTGGTCAGGCTGGTCTTGAACTCCTGACCTTAGGTGATCCACCTACCTCAGCTTCCCAGAGTGCTGGGATTACAGGCTTGAGCCACCACTCCTGGCCACTATATGTTTTTTAAAAATCTTTTCCATCCTCCTTGGTGGTGTTTTATAGCTGTCATAGTGTTCACTCTATGGATGTGCCATACTTCTTTAATCATTTCTTTTCTTATTTTTGGACCATTAATGTGGTTTCTTTTTTATTTTTTGGAGACGGAGTCTCACATTTACCCGGGATGGAGTGCCATGGTGCAGTTTTGGCTCACTGCAACCTCTGCATTCCAGGTTCAAGTGATTCTCCTGCCTCAGCCTCCCAAGTAGCAGGGAATTATAGGTGCTTGCCACCACGCCTGGCTAATTTTTTGTGTTTTTTAGTAGAGACAGGGTTGCACTATGTTAGCTAGGCTGGTCTCAAACTCCCGACCTCATGATCCTCTTGCCTCGGCCTCCCAAAGTGCTGGGATTACAGGCATGAACCACAGTGCCCAGCCCATTAATGTGGTTTCTGATTTTTCACCCTTCCAGTTGGTGGCGAACAGTTCACCACCAACTGGAATGGTGAAAAATTAGAAACCACATTAATCTTTGTATATGTCTTTAATTATTTCCTTTGTATAAACTCCCAGAAGTAGAATTATTAGGTCACAGTGTATGTGAACTTTTTGTGTAAGTTTTCATGTTATGCTACCAAATTGTCCCTTACAAAGGTGAGTCTTATTCACGTTCCCATTGAGATTTCATGTGTGCATTTTATATATATAACCACAGTGAGAACAATTCTGATCTTTGTCTAAAAATGATATCTCATTGTTTCAATTTATAATAGTACATTTTTTATTCTTTTCCTGTCCAAATCTTATGTTGAAATTTTTTTTTTTTTTTTTTT